TGCCTCACTCCCAGTCCCTCAGCTCTGACCCCCAGTGCCTCACTCCCAGTCCAGCTTCAGCCCTGCTCTGCAGACCTGCTCTCCCTCCTTTCCTTCCCAGTCTCCGCCTCTGCGCCTCTCCAGCCCTGCTGGCCAGCGCTCTCTCCCTGTGCCACCTGCTGAGGAAGTGACTCAGGAGGAGATGACTTTCCTGTCTTTCATGCAGAGGACGGATGCCGTTGCCAAGGAAGAGTCGCGTTCGTGTTTTTTTGCGAATGTTTTGTTTTTGTTTTTTTTTTCCATTTTTCCGAAACAAAAGTAGATCTCCGTCCTCTCCTCCTCCCCTTTCCCCTTTCTCCCTTGTGGAATCGCTTCCCCGTCTCGCCTTATAAGTACAAAATCCAGATCAGGAAGCCGTGTAAAGGGAAATTCTGCTTATTTGGTTTGTTTATCCGAGTGCTTTGCTCCGGTTGTAGCTGAAATCCTGGAAGAGACCTACGCTGGGCTCAGGCGGTCTGCCTCGGGCTGTGGTGGTCCGCAGTCAGCCCTGGTGGGCAAAGGGGTCAGAAGATTCGACTCTGGATATGTGGCATGTTGTGTGTCCTCCACATGCATGGCTGTAATGTCAGGTCACAGAGTGGCAGGATGGTTAACGGCACCCTTTCACACCTGCAAGGTTCTGGGTACAAGTGCCCAGGCCACCCTTCTGTGTGGAGCTTGCATGTTCTTGCTAGATTTGTGTTGGAGGTTTGGGGGGGGGGTGGTATAGAGCTCCAATCTTCCAAAGACATGCGGTCAAAGAACCCCCCCCCCCAGATTTATCCCTATCAGAAAAACAGCTGGTTTCTCCTCCTTATCAACTGTGTCCACACAGGACAGTGTAGAGAGAAGGGGTACAGGACATAGGCCTGTGAGCTCACACTGGCATCGGGAAGGTGTCACCTGAGTGCCAGTTCTAGGTCATAGTGCGGCGCAGCGCAAACAGCTCTGATTGGTGGGTGTGTCAGAGGAGACCATTTGACCTGGTCGTTTGTGATCATGAGCTCCGTGTCCATGGCCTTGGTCAGGTCGGGCATTTAAATGATGGATGCTATAAAAGAACACACTTCCCAAAATTGACCTCGGGTCCGATAGACCGGACTGTCCAGCTCTAACTGGGATTCTCCCCAGCAAAGGGCCAGCCGGCACCATGACCTTTCACCTTTAGTTCGGGTCCCAGCACTCCCACCCTCTCACTCTTCCTGTCTCGTTCTCCCTTCTCCCTTCTCCCTCTCCCTCTCCCTCTCGCTCTCCTCCTCCGGTTCCTGTGCTCACAATGCCTGGAAGCTGCCTAGACCTGCTGTGTTTGTTTCTTTTTCTCCTTCCATAAAAGAATTGAAAAGTAATTCCACACGCTCTCCTGCAAACATAGCGCACATGCTGTTTACTGTAAGAGGTTTTTTTTCTGCGTGGGTCATACAGTATGTTTGCCTTTCATTCCTAGGCTGGATCTCTATTTTTAATGTGTGCAATTCCATGTAAGTGCCAGAAAACCTTAGCTAGCAGCTGCATCACCCTGCAACTC